CTACCTTTCATCTTTTAGGATTAACTCTTACTTCTGATCTTTCTTGGAAACCTTATATCAAATCCGTTGCAAAATTACCATCTGCTAAAGTTGCTTCTTTTTATCGAGCTCGTCACTTTCTTACTCTGGATTCTATTCTCTATCTCTATAAATCTCAAATCCGGCCTTGTATGGAATGCTGTTGCCATATCTGGGGCGGATCTTCTAGTGATGCCCTTTCTCTTTTAGACAAGGTGCAAAAACGCATTGTAAATATTGTTGGACCTGCTCTTGCAGCCAACCTTCAACCTCTGTCACATCGTCGTAATGTTACTTCTCTTTCTCTTTTCTACAAATACTATAATGGGCACTGCTCGAAAGAGCTAGCGTCTCTTGTGCCATCTACTAAAATTCATTCTCGTGTTACTCGTCATTCAATTAAGTCTCATCCTTTTTCTGTTACTGTTCCTAAGTGCTCCAAAAACTCTTATTAGTCTAGTTTTTTTCCTTGAACATCAGTTCTTTGGAACTATATATATATATATATATATATATATATATATATATATATATATATATATATATATATATATATATATATATATATATATATATATATATATATATATATATATATATATATATATACATATATATACATATTTATATATATATTATATATATATATATATACATATATATATATATATATTATATTATAAATATTAGTAATATATATATATATATATATATATATATATATATATATATATATATACATATATATATATATATATATATATATATATATATATATATATATATATATATATATATATATATATATATATATATATTACTAATATTTATGATATAAGAACGAAATTTTTTGTACTAAAAAATAATTTTGCTTTTTTTTTTTGTTACTTGCATGATAGCTGTGATAATATACTTGTTTGTCAACTTGCTTCTCGTGCAGCGGCCTTGTTCATGTTTCGGAGTTATAGAAAGAGTTGTAATCACAAAAGTAGCCTCCTCGACTGTAGTCGGTGTAGAGGTGAATAATTAAATATATATATATATATATATATATATATATATATATATATATATATATATATATATATATATATATATATATTATATATATATATATATATATATATATATATATATATATATATATATATATATATATATATATATATATATATATTGTAACAAAAATAATAAAAGTAAAAAACACTTAAATATATTAGGAAAAAGTCTTAACAGTTAAAGTATATTTTTATATCGAAATAAAGTTGAAGCGATGACAAGAAAAATATCATCAATATAAAACATATTTATCTCAAGTTAATTATAGTTAATTAAAAAATATTATTATCTAATAAGGTTTTCCCAAAAAGAACATTTTTGAAAAATATATGCTTAATGTGTTTTATATAATAAAAAAAACTGGTTTTTAAAAATTTTATTAAAGCTTTTTACTAATATCTAAACGACCGTGTTTTTTTCTCTTAAACTTCATTGTTGTTATTAAAAAAGTTTTATAGCGATTTCTATAAAAATCAATAGACATTCTATACAAATTCTATAGAGTTACTATAGGCCATATGTTTCATAAGTTAAGAGAAATTCTATAGAACTTTTTTTACGGAATGTTTTCACTCCGCCACTGTAGTGGATCAGCGTCACTATTTATTTTTGGTTCATCCAGATATTGGCTTAGCTGAGTGTCAATACCTCTTGGTAATTGTTGTTCATGTGCTGTGCCACCAGCTGATGTAGACTGAATAATTTCATCAATATATTGCCAGGATAATGATGATAGTTTAAAAGAATGATCCAGCCGGGCTTATTTTGCTAGATTTTCTTCAGTTTTGTCAATTGTCTTGCTTTTTCACCTGTCAGTGTTGCCTGTATTGAGAAGAATTTAGTTTGTTAACTAAGCAGGACTACCAAACACTAAGAAATGAAGCCATGACTGTTGGGTCCAAAATTTATTCAAATTACAAATCTCTAAGAGATAAAAAAAAAAAAAAAAAAAAAAAAAAAAACTGTATGCAACCAGAAACCAAAATTGTAGTGTCAGATTATTCAGCTGAAGTAAATCTTCAAGCGCTTTCAGATTATACAGCCTTTCGTTTGTGCCTGTTGTAAGAAGAAGTAATTAATTTTAATATATCAATAAAAGAAGAGTCTTTTATTAGAAATGCAAATATTGAAAATATTTGCAAATATGGTAGTTGGTGAAGTGGCAACAGCCTTATCAGTCGAGACCAATGCATCACAATCCTGCTCAATATGTGGCAGCACACCAAAACAGATGAATAATATTGAAGAAATGGTAGCAAAAAATGAAAATGAAAATTACTCTAGTCTGCAGTATGGCTTGTCATCATTACATGGATAGATTAGAACAATGGAATCGTGTTTTTACTAAAATGGGATAACCAAAAGTAGCAGACGCGTACCACAAAAGAAAAGTTATTTGTGACGACCAAAAAAAAAAGAATCTAAGATGTCTTTAAAAATTGTCTTAGATTAATTTTTGATGTGCCCAGATTTGGTGGTTCTGGGACATCCAATGATGGAAATAAAGCTCGTCATTTTTTCCAATCTAAAAGAATTGTGGCTGAAATTTTAAAGCTGGATGTACAACTGCTAAAAAAGTTGCATGTCGTTTTTGCCACATTGCTCTGCCATTTAATGCAGATGCATTTTAAAAGTACTGCCTTGAGGTAAGTTTATTTGTTAATATTATTTGTATACTGAGCTGTGGCTAATTTAGCTTTTGTAATTACATAATTGATTTCCTCTTTTAGAGGGCTCATTTGTTTGTACAGAGCTACCCATAATATTACATGCCACAAAGTTTGCACAAGATATTATAACACGAAAATGAGGTTGTGAGGAAAATGGTCTTGTCTATTGGCATGCTCTCTGAAGAGGCACAGGAAGCGCGAAACAAGGATTTCGAACGTTTCCGTGAAAACTACACACGCAAATGCCATTGTTAGAAAACTAACTATGATGTATTATGCCAACTTTTGTGCTTATCAGACCCAATAATTAGCAGCATGAGTAGGTCAAATTCTCAAAATTCAAAATCTCAACTCCCAGAAGGAGTTAGTGAAGTATAAATGCATAAAATAAGAAATCATATTTTGGTTGAGTGACTCAACCATAATATGATTTTTTATTTTATGTATGTTTGTATGTTTTATAAATTGTTAATGTGCTTCAAATTATCAATGTTTTATTGGAATATTTTTTGTTTTTATTATTAATGACCTAAATCTTTACCTAAAATTAATTACCTAAATATTTAATAGTTAATAGGTATTTAAAACAGGACGGTTAAAAATCCGATAAATATTTATTCAAAAATCCATTTATCTGAGTGTAACTAAGAAAAGTATCAAATTGTTAAGCAATCTGAAGCTATAAAATAAGTTGTTGCTATGTAAATTAGGCATCCATAAAACTAGGTAACCATTGCAACCAAATAATAAATATCCTCCTCATCAGAAGAGCGAACCCTCAACTTTTGTTTATCAATTCCCTCTTTCCTCCAATTAGAAAGGACAACGAAGATCTGCAGACCCCCATCTCTAGTTATATCGTTTTAATCCTGCATAAATAATAAAGTGAGTTAACATAATAATTATTTGCTTAAAAACCCTAACCACTGTCATTTATGACCCTCCATTATCCCCTCCCCCGGCTTACCTTCCTCACCCTGTAGCGATATTTTAAGGATGGATACTTGTATACTCGCATTTTTAAAATAATGTTATTGCTTTTCATTTCAAAAAATTTAAAAAGTTTTAAAAAACCTGATCACTGAAAATGCCTGAATTTTGCTATATATTTTTACCAACATTTTCAATGGTTTTAAAGTCCTTAAGTTTTATTCTAATCATCATAGATTAACATGTTTGGTATCATTTCAAAGAGAATTTTAAACTTTATCTAATTATTGTGGTTTCAATTTTTTTTCTGAAAACTTGAAAAAAATGTTGAAGTACCTATACTACTTTGAAGTTGGATTTATGGTTAAAAAAATTATACACTATTATTTTCAGGGCCATATTGAAAAGATTTTAATGGGGGGAGGGGGGTTGACATATTTGTTTTTTGCCGACTGCCAACTATAGATCCCATTTTGCCAACTCCAGCGTCCTATTTGCCGACAAATAAATTTCGTAGGGGAGCTAGATACCCCCTACGCCGCATCCCCCCCTCCCCACTCCTGTTAGGACGGCCCTGTTTATTTTTTATTTAGCTAATTGCCTATCTCTTACCCAAATATAAGATATCATCAATTGTTTGGAATTTCCATTTTATTAAGTTTTAAAAAGTCCTAAACATCAAAAATTTTTATGATCATTACTATTAACAAGATTTTCTTTAGGTCTCTAAAGGAAGAAAAAAAAAAAAAAAAAATTCTTCAAAATTAATATTAAAATAATTTTATCATTTTAAACAACCTTCTAGCTTTCTTTCAAAAGATTTAAAAATTACTGATGAATGATAAAAAATAAAAATTGAGATATTTGTCAAAAATAACTATTATGTGATTATATTTTTAAAAACACTGTGCTATTTTTTTGAATTGTTACTTTACTGTTTAAAAAAGTTTATTACAAACTTTTTTATAATAAAAGTATGAGTTTTTCAATACTCAATAGTAAAAATTACATTTAAATTTAGTTTAATTTTAAGAGTAAACTGAATGGTAAATTTCATTTTTAGCCCGAATCGTTTAGAGTCATAACATTTTAATGTTTTACTTATATGTTTATTTCAAATTAAATATATATTTTTCACAATTCTATTTTTTTCTGAACTAGTTTAAATTCTTTTTTTATTTGGTAAATCCAGTGTCATGAACTGAATCACCTATATTGTTTATGGCACTGATGCATTATAAACAGAAGAATCGAATATTTGCACCAGAAACATCATGCACTAAAGTAGGATGTATAGATATATATTATACACAACAAAAGGAAAGCATTCTTAGATGTTCTTCGTGTTCAAAAATATATTACAAGTAAATACACTTTAAAATAAATTAAAGTTTGTTAGTCTTGATAAGTTATGATCAGTGAAAACAGGAAATGAAACAAACTGAGGACATTACCATATACTGGGTTGTTCAAACATTTTACTGCTATTGTTTTCCTCAAAATCAGAGTCACTTGAGATTTCACCATCTTCAACTTCTGTTAATTTCTTTTTTTTGGAAGGTAACTTATTTGAAGAATCAAAGATAGATTGCGAACGTTTTTTATTATCACTCTTAGCAATGCAACATAAACTGGAATGATGAAGCTCCATATATTGGGTATCTTTAATCCCCCAAATAAAAATTCGATTTTCAAATGGTTTCAGCAAGTTCCATGAAAAATCAATTCTCTCTAACTTTGAACCAACTTGATCAGCTAAACACCTTAAAAGACTAATAAATACCAAACCAGTACAATAGGCATCATACCCTGCCTGGTGGTACTCATTTTTGCTCTTAGAATGGTTGTTTAACTTATTTGATAATTTAACTTCAGGATTAGGCAAGCGATTGTCATCAACAAAAGTTTTAAGCTTTTCAAGAGATGTCCCTCCAACTTTTGAACTTAATGGTTGCATGCTACAAAGCAATTTTGTATCAAAAATTGAAGAGAACAATGATATAAGTAATACTTTGAACTCGCTTAAATTTTCAGGAGGTAATGAAAAAAAGTTAGTGGTTGTTAAAAAAAGATCCATCAACATGTTGTGCCCAATTAAAGGTTTACGGCAGTCTGAAAGCAGCCTTATTACTTTAGTGAATCCAATGATTTCATCAAGTAATAGATTTTCTTCTGCAATCCTTTTATTAAAAATTTCTTCATTTTTGGTAATTTTCACTCCTCTGATAATTTTTTCATTATTTTCATTAACAACGCTTTTCAAATACAATCCTCTTGGGTATTTTTCTTCCAGATACTCATAAAGAAGTGTTCTTTGGAAAGGACTACATGGTGGTAAGTCATATGTTTTCAAGGAGTCGTCTTTCATAAATTTTTCTATATTTTCACATACACTATTAATAAAATCTCTTTGATCCCTCGGAATAAAAACACTAGATTTTTTTTCAACATCGTCTGACACATTTGTTGTTGTTTGAATAAGAGTTCTTCTATGCAACTCATTATGTGCTATAAAATTAATTTCTTTCTTTAATTTTTCTCTAGCTTTTTCTTCTTCCCAAGGAGACATAAATGAAACTCCTTGGTGAAATAGTTTATTAAAATCAAATCCATTTTTAGCTAGAAAATCAATACTTGAACTTTGACAAACAAATATCACATCATTGTGAACCTTTTTATAAGGCCTCGGGCAGATATAAAAATTAAAAGGCATCGCTTTATAAGACTTTTTTTTTTCACTCCACTTAAATAAACTAATACCATACTGTATTAGAAGTAACTTATTAGATCCATCTTTTAACATATTATACTTTTCCTCAAGGTTACTACAACTTCCAGAATTGCTTTTAATAGTACTTAAACCAGAAAACTCTGCATCAATGGAAATAAAATCAGTGTTATTAATTTCTGATTTTATAAGCTCAAAAGCAGCATCAAAATTACTTCTCGTCACTTCCATTTTTATGACTTTACCGGGTTTCTGCCATTTGTTTTGTTCGTTATGTCCGCGTAATCAAATATCTCTAACGTGAAAGATCTTAAGAATCAGTAAATGTCGTTTCATGTAATATAATTTTTATTTTATTTTTCTAATTCTGATTTACTCCCAACAAATCTATAAACAACCATTATTGATTAGGGAGTTACTAGAAAAAGAGAATAGTGTTATAGTGCAAGGAAACCGTTAACAGAAGAATTAAAAACTTAAAGGTCATAAGAGTCAGGAAAGCATGAAGACGAGAAAGCGTTTAAAGGGTTGGGAAAAAAGTTAGATGAATAAAAGTTTTTAGAGCATACAGGGCAGATACAGTAAAATAATGAGGTTTAGCTGAATGACTAGTCAAGCAAGAATAAAATTTAGTTGATGCAACTAGTGATAATAGATCCTTTGAGCAGCGGCGATGAGAGTATTTGTAGAAAAGAGAAAAAGATGCAACTTTATGACAATCGTAAAGAGGGTCGAGCTCCAAAGATAGAGCGGGTCCAACTCCGTTTATAATGCTTTTTTGGAATTTGTCTATAAGAAAAAAAGCATCATCACTAGAACAACCTCAAATATGACAACAGAGACAATATTCCATACAAAGACAAATAAGAGATTTATAGAGGTAGAAAATGGAATCAGGAGAGAGAAAATGGCGAACACGATAAAGAAAAGTAACCTTAGCATATGTTAATTAGCAATAGATTGCACATATGGTTTTTATGAAAAGACAGTAGTAAACGATAATCCAAGCAGACGTAAAAAAGAGGACTCACTGAGATGGTTGCCATTTATTAATATAAGAATGTCAACAGTACTGCAATAGTTGTTTGCAATAGATAACTGAGTTTTGTTGGAATTAAAATTTACAAGCCAATGTGAGCCCTCGTCTGTTACAGAAGTGAGACCAGATTCAAGATTGGTTGCCTGTTCCAAGCGATCAAAAAGAGAAGATTTTTCGTCAAGACAGGAGAATAAAGTTGAATCATCAGCAAAAAGAGCTACTTTAGATGTAAAGTTGTCGGGAAGATCATTAATGTAGATATAAAACAAAATAGGACCAAAGGCTGAACCTTGAGGTACCCCAGAAGTTACTGGAAATAAAGAAGAGTGTTGGCCTTCGAGGATGACTCTAATAAAGCAGTTAGAAAGAAACGATTTGATAATCTCAAAAACTTTCACAGATACACCATATGAAACAAGCTTATGGAAAAGACCAACATGCCAAACTTTGTCGAAAGCCTTAGATATGTCAACAGCAATAGCCCTAGCCTCTCCACTTCCATCTAATACACGTTCAAACCTTTCAGTCACAGTAGTTAGCATGTCAACCATAGAGTAAGAGAAAACCGTATTGATTGACTGACAGTTTTACTCGAGATGGGATGTGAAAAGTTTGTTGAACAAAGACTCAAAAACCGAAAGAAGACTAATTGGACAATAATTGGATGGATTAAAATGTTTACTGGAGTTTTTGAAAACTGAACAACAGATGCTAATTTCCAACAGACACAAAAACAATACTCAATCAAGCATTTATAATGAAGTTTAGAGGGAATTGAAAAGAGTTTTGGAAAACAGTTTTGTAAGACTATGACAGGAATGTTGTCTGGACCACAAGCCGTAGAAGAGTTTAATCGAGATACCACTTTAGTAACGGAAGCTGGAGTGAGTTGAATGTCTGACAGTAGGTTAACCTGTTTAATTGGAATGGAAGGAAGAGAATGGTTATAAGATTCCAGAGTCAAATTAAAAGAAAGGTTCTTTGCAAATAGTTCTTATCCTTTGGAGAGTTAATAAAATCAGTCCCATGAATGCGAGATGGAATGTTAACCCTACCTTTGTTAGCAACGCTGTTGAAGATTTTCCAAAAGTATCTTGAACTATTAAGATAAGATTTAGCTAAGAATAATGGAACTTAGCATCAGACTTTTAGTACATCAGTACTTTTTTATATCTTCAGTACTTTTTTATAGCATCAGTACTTTTTTATATCCATTTTTTTTCAATAAAAAAATAGCCATTTGTTCTCAATAGAGTTACTTTCCTGAAAAGGTTGAAAAAAATAATTAAGATTAAATATAGCAGCTGCACAAAGACATCAGCCCATGGACCGTCACGAAGAAAATTACAAAAAAAAATCCCAGTCAGCTTAAGAGTAGTAGTAAGTAATGCGATGATAGGGTGAATCCAAAAAAGAAGTACGAGATAAAAGATTTAAAGACATCATTGCATGGTCAGAAAAAGAAAAAAGTCAATGGCGTTAGAGCCAAGCTAATCAATATAATGAGCATAAATGTACATAACAACAATAACAACAATAATGGCAAAGGGGTAAAGAGAGAGGACATGGTCAATTTGATCAGAAATTACATCTAAAAGAGTGAAGTCTTGGGAAGAAGGAGAATAATAAAGAACAAAGAGAAAAGTGAGTTAAGAGGTGCTAAGTTGAAGTGCATAAAAGTATTGCCAAAGAATTTGAACCTGATTTCAAGACAAATAGGTAAATTGATGCGTATGTATACCTCCTGATGTATACTTTGAGCTGGATATCAGTAAGTATGGAAACCCAAATAGATTGCGTGCAATATAATAACGTAACTTGATTTCATCGAAACATAAGACGAATAGTAATGTTTCTTGGTCTACTAGGGATGGCTTTTTGATTATTTAGCATTAGCTTCGTGCTTGGTTTGGTAAGAAACAAGTCCTGATTTGATGATAGTTTATTCAACAGTCAGAAGACATGATATTATTTTGACCTAATGTGCTCTAAACCTGCTGACTGATCTATTTTTATTTTTTTTTGTACAATTTCAATTAAATATGTGTAGGAATTATTTTTTAAATAAAACTATATGTAATTATTTTTTTCTAAATACAAATACAAATGTTTGTATTTCAGGTTAAGAAAAAATAAGAACACTTTTTCAAGACAATATTGATAAAATGGTATATTTATCTATTTTGCTATTTAGGTGCCCCAAAAAGACCTAAGAGTCTGGTCACAGAGTACCACGGAAGTGCATTTTAACTAGGAAGTTCACGTCTCCTTCCTTACCGTGTGCGAAAATATGTCCAGAACTCGTTTCGAATCTGGATCTCCTGCTTCTAAAGCAAGCGCTCTAACCACTGCGCCACGGCACTTCTATAACAGCGGCACTTTTTGAGTGCCGCTGTCATAGAAAGGGTGAAATATAACTATATTACTAAATAAAACAATGAAAACAAGTCTTTTAACAAATATCACTTAAAAGTTGATTTTTTGATAATTTCAGTTTTAAAAATGAAAAAAATTATTTCTTACAACAACAACAACAAAAAAAAGAATCTCTTAGTTTTTTCAAAAAATACGCTAGTGAAACTCAATTGCAGTCCAAGCAACAGGGCAAATACTTTAAGATCACTACAAATAATCCACTTGTGGTTGCCATAGCTAACACATTCAAGTACAGTTTTCATTGTCTCGTAAGTTTCCTGCAGTGCTACTGCATGAGCTATTGGAATGGAAGGATATTTTTTTCCAATATGAATTAATACTGCTTTTAGAGAGTATTTTGAGGAGTCAATAAAGAGACGCCATTTATTAGAGGAATAGACACATTCAAGTTCAGTTAACAGTCCTTCAACATTCGTACAAAAGGTGAGACTATTTTTTTAATGAAATATTTTGAGTATCTTTCATGTCTGCTTCGGTAAATGGTCACTCTGGTGTCAGTTGTTAACAAGTGTCACTCTTGTAGTCAAGAACCTAGAAACTCAGCTTTCGATTTTGATAGATATAATTCTCTGATTAGATCGCTCAGCTCCTGTTGGTTAATAAAATGTGGAGCCAATTTCGTTTTAGGCATAAAGTTATCATTGTCATCTCCTTTGTTTGATTTGTCTGATGTATTTGGAGAGGGAAAAAGGTTGAATACACTTGGTGGAGTTGGAATAGGCTGACTGTCACTGTGAGGTACTGGCAACTTTGCTGAATCACAAATTGCATACTTTATTTGTCCTTTGTCCTCAGAGAATGTCCTTCGATTTTTGTTGAACAACTGTAACAGTCGGTAATACAATCTTATGGCTTCTTTCATATCATAAGAATGGCAAATGGCATGCCAGTTGGTCTTTTTCCATCCAGCCATTTAGTCAAACACATGTAGCAGTTAGTGCAACTATACTAAAGTGCCCATTTTTTGACATGATTTCCAACCTTGAATCCAAAATAGAAGTCGTAAGCAGTAAAAAATTTTGAATTCATTTTTCTCTTCTGTTTTTTAGTGATATAATTGCGTAAATGTAAGTTTAAACACTTGTGGTCAACAAGTGTTTAAACTTACATTTACGCAATTTAAAAAAGAAATGTTTGATTTGAAAGTGTGCGAAAACTATAGCTTAAAACTGATTTAAGATAAAAAAACAAACTTTAAAATTTCAGAAGAATCTGGACCTGTAGGATCAAAAAGGGGTTCCATTTTCTTAATCAGCTCAAAAATCTGATCTAGAAAAACCTAATGCTGTTAATTGAATCTAATAAAAAAAATTTATTTTTGTTGTCTAGTGTATTTAACGCATATGAACTTGGTTTGTTTTATAAAGCACTCAAAGAAAAATTATGCATTTGAAAAGTATGCAATATAGTGGAGACAAGAATGGTAAGATTTGGTTCCATATGACAGAATGTTTGTATGAGAAGACCGTAAGGTAACAATGGTTATTGACAATTTCACCACTCATCTGAATATAATGAATCTTAAATCATTTTTAGATATAACGTCAAAAAGATTATAAATAAAAAACTGTGTTACATGAATCATAAAATCTTCAATAACTCATTAATGAAATGTTTTACAAATAATGTCTCTATAACTTTGCGTTTCAAATAGCTTGATATCACAAAAAATCTATTTAACAGTTTTTGTTAAATAAAAAAGCTTAAGAAAAACAAACAAAATTATCCATCTTGTATGAGAAAGTTTTTTCTCCATAAGACCATTAAGTCTTTACTAAATATCAAAATATCAAAAAACATAGGTATCCTTTACAAAGCTAGTTCTATACTGTCTCCTGATAATTTAAAGCTCCTATACTTTTCGTTCATACAAAGCTACTACATATACGCTAGTGTTGCATGGGGGAGTACTCATAAATCCAAACTAACCACACTATATCGGAAACAAAAGCATGCTGCTAGAATAGTTTTTAATAAGGATAGATTCTCACAAGCTGAACCACTTTTATAAAATTTAAAAGCATTAAATGTATATCAAATCAATATATTCCAAAATTTGTTGTTTATGCTCAAATATAAACTTGGACTTGTTCCTTCTCACTTTTTAAGGAATTTCTTTCAAAATAGCAAAAACAGATACCATACCAGAGGAAAAGCAAACTTCAACGTACCTTTTAAAAAAACTAATCTCTCGCGCTTTTCTATTTCGTACCGTGATCCTTGTCTATATAACAAATTAATATCCAAAAACTCTCAATTGGAAAAATCGAGTAACTTAAATACTCTGAAAATGTTATTAAAAGATCTTATCTTAAACAATAACAACTTTATGAATTTTTATTAACCCAAAAACATTTAAAACTTTGTATAAAACTAACTTCGTTCCGAAACCAATGTAATCTCTAATAACTCTAAAAAAACTTTAAATAACTCAAAAACAACAACAACAAAAAATAATAATAAATAATATGCTTATTTATCAACACTTGAACTATATTACATATTTATCAAATCGTGTACCTACTTATATTTATGTGTATTGTAATAAAATTAAAAAACTAAAAACTTTTTCTCTACATTCTTTGTTGTCTTTTTTTAGCATTTTATTTTTATTCTGCCGAAACTCATAACATTATTTTTTAAATATAAACTTATTTTAAATTGAAGTATTTAAAAATATTATTAACGCTTAGCAGTTTCTTGATGTCAAGACTATCGGTCTTCTGCAAGTTTCCCGCGTTCTTTAAAGTTATTTTAATGCGTTACAGTTTAATTTTACTATACTCTGTGAACGATTATATTATATATTACGAATTTGTAAAGATTAAAGAACAAAAAAATTATTAAAAAAAAAAAAAAATTATATATTAACGTTCTAGGGAAGTGGGGTATTCACACCACCCTATCTCTTCATGTTCTAAACTAAATCTGTCTATGATACTAAGGCTTACCTTACATTTTAAGCGTGTATTAACCCATTGCTTAAAAATTAAATGTAATTGTAAATTATGGAAGGTTTAAAAAAAAATTTAAAAAAAAAATATTGCATAGGTATTCTTAACTTTTTTAATTTTTTTTTTTTAAAAAAGAAATCATAAAGATAAAAACTATAAACAATATAAAATAAAACTTATACAAAAAACAGCTACTTAAAATAATTTTACAAAACAATTGTTTTATATAACTATTTTAAAGAATTATATAACATATTAATATGCTCCTTTTAATCATGTGTTTTGATAAAAAAAGTTAGAAAACCAAATAAAATTAGCAAAAAAATCACTGAAATAAATCTTTTAATTAAGCAAGCGCGGCGCAATGGTTAGAGCGGCATCATCAATTTATTAGTTATTTTAAATTGTTTTAAAATTATTTTTTATCAAACTAATGAGTGAAACGTATCCGCTGTTTAGTTAAGGGCATTTGTGAAAATAAATTTGTTCGGATAAATTATTATTTATTTTTAAAGATATTTTTCTTAAATATGATATTACAACTCTTTTTTATAGATTTTTGTAAACAGCGCAAAGCGTTTTTAAAAATATCTTAATTATCAATTTTGGAAAAATAAATTCTAATCTGTAAATCTTGAAATAGTTTAAATTTGGAAACATTAAAGGTGAAGTTACTGTCACTGTTGCAAAGCATGTTTGGGCTATTTTTCTGACTATTTTTTTCTATCTTATATTATACCTTTGTATTATATCTTTGTACTTTAAACACGCCTAATCTTGATAACGTTGCAGATTATGAAGTTCTAGTTAGCCATGTCTTATGCAGATCATGGTGTTGGGTCTTTGTGAGCCAATTAACTTGAGGAGATTTAATAAGAATACCAGTAAACCATACCCATATTATGAGTCCATTTACCTTTTTTACAACGCATTACCGAGCATGTTTTGAAAATTTGATATACTTATATACATGAAAAAGATAACTAAGTGGATAAAATCTAATTAAAAGTGGTTTCTGTTTTTAAAATGTCGCCAATTAAATTTTGCCGAAGGGGGTTTCAGTAATATTTTTATACCCTATATTTATTATAATTTTATATAGTTTATTATACTTTTTATAATTGCTAAAAAACAATTATTAATTGTTTTTTTTTCGGACTCGTACCATTACTTAATGGTACTAAACTTTTACTAAACTTTTTTATACGGGTTTTTTTATATGTTATACAACATATAAGAAACGAATAAAATAGTTTGATTTTAGTATACACTTAATGTTACAAGCCCGAAAAAAAAAATCTTAAATGCAAAAGAAGTCAAAACTATACACTTTCATCTATTTGCTTTATATAATATATTTAATAGCTATGTAAATATAAAAGGAAAAAATTAAAAAAAAAAAAAAGTAAAATCGGTTTTTAATGAATTTTTTCTTTTTTCTTAATTTAATTAATTTTTGTCAAATAATAATTTATAAAAATCATCATTTAAAAAAAATCTTATAAAATCACTATATATCAATAAAATAATTTCGAATTCGTTAAAAATCAAAATTAAATAAAAATAATTTATTGTAATAAAATATAATGTTTATCACATTATATTTTATATATATAATCAATTGTTTTTTGTTTTTTTAAACAAATTTATTTGCAAATTGAAAATTGAATTCTTTCTAAATTTTCTTTTACACTGAATAATCTTTTATATTTCATTTTATTTTATATTTTATTTTTATTAATTGATGTTAATGAAAAGAAATTGTTTACATTTGCATTTGTCAATAAATATTTTATTAGAAATACGATATCTCTCAAACTAAAGGATTCTTCATTTTTTTCGTTTTAAAGTATACATATTTGTGAACTCCATTAACGTTCGCAGCTGGCGATAGAAAGATTTACATGGACATAACGTGATTTTAAAAAACGTATTAATAAATATCAAAACGAAGTGCAGCTTGTTTATATATCTTGCAGTGTGTAGGTGTTAGGGGTATTATTAGTCTTTTGTGTTTAGAAAAACATATTTTCATTGACTCGCCGTTGTTGATTTGTTATCTTCAAAATATCTATTGAAAGAAATTCAAAAAGCTTTTATTGTTAATCGTTTTTATATACAAAAAATACGTTAACTTCACAATAAAATCATTATTTTTGTTGTTATTTGATATCTTTTTTATTAAAAAAAGTGATTTGATATCTCTCACTAACTTCATAAATAAATTAATAAATTCATTTTATTTTATTCAAGTAATGCTTAAGTAGCTGGAGGTGGGGTTTATTTGGTCATTTACACGATCTGTTAAATGCTAAGATGGTGGAGCTAGGGGAACTAATAAGTACTGAGACAAGTAACCGTCGCTTATTTTCAATAGACTCCATTTTGTATCGTGGAATTTATCAAACAAAAAAGTCAAACCTGGAAAAACAAATTTATATTCCAAAAGATGAATTCAATGATCGCATTTCTGATTCAAAACATTTTACAACATTGCACCAAACTCAGGAAAAACCAAACGGCGTGTGCAATGACCCAATAGAAAACAAAATAAACTGCACATGCTCTATATGTAACAACTCCAACGTTATTGAAAAAAAAAATTTTTTGAATCGGGAAAAAAGATTTTATTACGACTACAATCCAATCAAAAGTAAGTAACAAATGAACTTTAACTTTTTGATAAACAACTTTAAAAATTTGATTAATATACTTTGGTTTTATTTTTAGACGATACAAATTGGTATGGATGCAAAAGATCTGCGCATTGCAATAAAAGAAGACGAACTATTTTTACCATTTACCAACTAGAGCGTCTCGAATGCGAGTTCCAACAGCAACAGTATCTAGTTGGACATGAAAGACGATATTTAGCAAAAGATCTGGGCTTAAATGAAGTCCAAGTTAAAGTGTGGTTTCAAAATAGAAGAATTAAATGGCGAAAATCGAGCTTACATCACAATATAGATATGCAAATATTACCAATGGAAAACTCAATGTGACAGATCTTTATAAAAAAAAAAAATTTTTTAACTAATCGACTAAAGAAAGAAATTAATTGTACATATTTGTATATATAGAGAGAGCTGTAAATATGTTAAAATATGCTAAAATGATAATTTTATTTAAAATGTTTTATGTAAAAATAAAGTTTAATTTGTTTTTATTTTTACTCATTTAAACAATATTGTTATCATACGTAAACAAAGGTAAACAAATTTTCATTAATTTTTATTTTCTGTGGTTGATAACTAATTTTTTTATTTACAATTTTAAAAGTATACTATATGAATTAATTATAAGAGCTTTATAACTTCAAATAAATAAAAAAAAATCCATTTTAACAATAACCATTTCAATGGTATAAAGCCTCAAACAATAACGTTGGTTGCAAAAAAGTGATTGTACTCGTCCAACAATAGGATTGATCATTTTTTATCGAGGATATAACGTTAGTCACTAACATTTTTCTGTTCATTTTATTTACATTTTGTTTCTACGTATCCGCTCCCACACATCCTACTATCACGCTTTTTATTTCCACAATAGTATTAGTAATACTTCTTGTAAAATAAAATTTTTCTAAGGACTTATGTAATACTTATACAAACATTATTTTATGATTACATTTATATTGATTAAAATTTTTGTGGCTTTTTGCAATGATTTTTTTTTCCATCTGTTTACTGTGTTATTTTATCGGTTTACTGTGTTGTTTTATTGGTATACTGTGCTAAAGTCTTTTCAGTTGGCAATTCTGATTTGTTTGATTCTTTTTTATCAAATGTTTTTATAGTCAAAAATAGTCATATAAATAAAAATTGTATTTTTATATAACCTTTTTTGTTTAATTCCTTAAAGAGTCAAATAAAGCTTTATTAAATTATTTTGAATATATGAATTCCAAACAATTAATTTGAACCCAATCCATCAACTGTTTTTAATAAACGCATTCTTTAATAAACGCTACATTAAAAATTTTTTAAACAAATAGTGATATTTGTTTTATTGATTTGAATGTTTATTGGAACTGTAATATCTGCTAACTGTAGACAAAAAATTTTTAGTATAAATTGAAGACTATAGATACAAACTATACTAAAAGTGTTTTTGAAGAAAGATCAAAAATAAAGAAAAATGCAAATCTTTAAAAGTATTTATAATATAAAATTCATTATATTATAATGATAAGCTTTTCTAAATCTGTTTCTTGTATTAGGCATTTTTTTTTATCGGTGCATCATCTTTGCATACACAAAAGCCAAAGTTATATATTAAGAGCTTTAAATATATACACCATAACTTATTATAACTTATCTACTATGTTTAATATACATAAACGGAATATAACTGATAAGGCGCCTATGATCACATAAACATATATTTAAGGTTTATTTATCAGACCAAAAAGAAACAATAAACTTTTTTCTTAATCTGCAATTGAATAATCATTGAAATAGCAAAAAGTTGAAAGTCCACTAATGAAATTTCTTAAATAATGCAGTTTATCTATAAATCTTCTATCTGATAATCTCTTTAACGGTAGACATTTCATCATTTGAAACAACTGAATTAATAAATAAAAACTGTTTAGTTTTTAAAGAAATAACCAACTACCGATGATCTTTAAACGTTATCAAGTTGTTTCGTATACTGCTTTTAAAAAAAGTATTTGGTTTAACAGTTGAAAATAAAACAGTTAACAAATAAATAAATTTATAAAAATAATACATTTAGACTCGAGTATTATGTACGAAAAATTTTGTATAAATTTTCCTTTCCAAAGGTTTCCGCTATAACAGTGGGCATTTTTTTACGAGTATTTTTTCTCTTCTCAAAAACATATAATTCTAAAACTCAACAGACATGGACGCTTCACAAAGAAAACGCGACAGACAGGGACGCTTCACAAATAATCAAGTTAAGCACAGTACTACTAGGTAACTTATTCAGTTCAATGGTATCGTGTGCAAAAGACTAGTCTCGTGATATCCAACTGAATAAGTTTATTTTTTAAGTAGTTCAGTGTTGTATATGCATGAAAATTACGAGTATATAAATACAAACACTGCTTTACCAAAAAACTATTTCAAATGGTGCAAGAGTTTTAATAAATTTATTTTCATACTTTATATATGAAATATATAAGTTAAATATAATAGTAAAGAAATATGACGCGTTTTAAGGTCTAACATTTTATTAGTGGTTTATTATGCAGATTTATTTTTAAATGTCTTGCTTTATAAGCATTTCTTTAAGGTAAATTACGGATAATAAAAATGCGACTGAAAATGTTTTTTTAGACGATACAAATTGGTATTATTCATAGCAATTCAATATTCGATTTGATTTGGTTTGATTTGATTTAAATTTATTAGAACAGTATTGGGTGTTTCAAGAACAGTATTGGGTGTTTCAAGAACAGTATTGAGTGTTTCAAGAACAGTACTGGGTGTTTCAAGAACAGTATTAGGTGTTCAAAAAGACACGCACTGTAGGACTCTTACAGCGTGTCCCACGACAGTAAAATATACTAAAAAGTTTATTATGTCAAGAAATAAAGTAAAGCTACGACAAAAACTGTTACACGAGATGCAGTTAGCTAAAACAGTATTTTTTAAAATTGATGGAGTTAATTTTTGTTTTAAAGCTCTTGATATTATTGGCATTTACGACATCAAACGGAAAGTTATTTTAAATATTAACAACTCTAGGAGAGAAAGAGAATTTTCGGACATTAGGTTGACATTTTATTTTGCGTAACTTAAGTTTATGACCTCGAGTATAAATAAAATTGTTAACTAAAATGAAGTTCGATGCATGAAGACAAGCTAAGTTGTACAGAATTTTCTAACATGAAATTAAGCCTAGCTTTAGACGACGAATTTCGAGTAGTTCATACCCAGTATTGCGTTTATTAAAATATGAAAATTTAGTTAAGTTGGCTAGTTTCTTAGTTAAACGTGTTTTGACTTTTTACTAATTTAGTGCAATGTGGTGACTAGACCATAGAGCAATATTATAAAATAGGTCTTATGTAAGTAGTAAAGACTTTTACGAGAACACGTCTTTAACTAAAACTAAAAGTAGTTTAGGCAATTTAGTAAAACTTAAATCGAAAATTTTTATAAAAATCTCATCTTTGACAATCTATAACTTAGGTTTCAGTTAAAACAAAATATATGAAAATTTATCTTTCTTTAATACAACTAATTTTTATCGTGTTTTTAAAAAAATGTCTTTATTTTTTTTTTTTTTTTTTGTTTATACAGTATTTAAGACTTTCATAAAGTCTATTATTAAACATCTTTAAGATTGTGCTCAGTCGGTTCGCTTTTTTAGAAATTGGTAATTAGAAAGTATGGACAAGGCCGCCGCGATAGGGGGTTCTGGGGGTGTGACCCTCCCCCCCATCAATGATTTTTAGTCGGCAAATTTGACCCTTAGTCGGCAAATTTGACCCTTTTTGACTAGTTAGTCGGCAAATGTAGACCCTGTCGATAGGTTAGTCGGTAAATTTAAACAGTCAGTCGGCAAATGTCGTCATGGCAGTCGGCAAATTTTAAAAAACAAGGACCTTTTTTTTTTTTTAGTCGGCAAAAGTTGTAATGGCACCCCCCCCCCCACGTGACACCTACTCGCGCTGTTAAAACAATGCTTTTTGAATAATAGATAATTGGAAGGTGAAAATTTTATAGGTGAGACTTTTTATTTTTATAAATTATACTTAAATAAGTAAAACAATAAGAAAAATTAATATTATACGAAAATGCAGACGTACAATGTTCATTTGGGTATTAAAAAAGGTTTAGAAACTGCTTTTGGATCATACTTTTATTAAAAGATACATTGCTTGAAAATCTTGTAGAGTTGGGTGAGTTGATTGGGCAAAATGCTACAATCAACTTCATTTAATATGATGTAAAGATATCTGATGTTCATTCCAGGAAGTTTTTAAAATCTATTGCACCTCACACTGGTTATGAATCTTGTAAAAGATGTTCTAATTATTATTATTATTTTTTTTTTTAATTATGAGATTATTAACGCTCTAAACGACAACATTTAGAAAGTTTGGTTGTTAAGACAACATTTAGAAAGTTTGGTTGTTAAGACAACATTTAGAAAGTTTGGTTGTTCTACAATTTATCTCAAGATTAATACAAACATTTTCTGGCGTTCATTGAAATATGCTTCAGTCTGATAATGAGTTATGCATTGAAATATGCTTCAGTCTGATAATGAGTTATGCATTGAAATATGCTTCAGTCTGATAATGAGTTTTGAATACAGTATTATTTCAAGCAAGGAGTTTAAAGAACACAATTTGTTTAAAGTTGTAAATATCTATAAGATTACATTCACATTGTACAATTTTTATAAATTATTTGTAATTGATAACTATTTTAAAACTTATTTTTTAAAACAATATTGTATTTTCTTTATAAAAATTTTCTAACCTTATTATTAAAATTGTCGAAAGACAAACTAAATGGTTCATATGAAAGACAAACTTAATGGTTCATGTAAAAGGCAAACTTAGTGGTTCATGTGAAAGATAAACTTAATGGTTCATGTGAAAGACAAACTTTATGGTTCATGTGAAAGACTAACTTAATGGTTCTCATTTTGGGAATGGCATAAATTTTGCATTGTCATAACTTTAGAACAATACAAGATTGTTAAATGAAACTCGAAGCCAGTAGATGAAATTAAATTTAGCATGGGCCATGGCAACGGGGTGGGGTGGGGGAGTGGTGTCCGAATGGACCAATGCTCCCTTTTAGAATTTTACAAAGTAATGTTGACTTTTTTTCCTGATAAAAAAAATTGAATACTATTATATAAATAAAACACTTTTATCTACTTTTATCTAGTTTCGGCAAAATACACAAAAATAAATCGACTATATGACAAGTAAAATAATTAGTTTGAAACCAATTTACTGCATAGAAAAAAATTTATCTAACATTTGATTTAAACTTGAACGAATAAAATTATAAATAGTATATTATATTATAATATTATATCTCTTATACGCCCGTGCATATATAACTTTAATAGTTCTAAATGAGATGGCATGTTTAAAAATGCCATGTAAAACATCAAAAATTTCTGTAAGTAGAGAAATAAGATAGAGAACTTGTCGTTTTGATGTCGTTTTCCGATAAATAAGCAGAAAAAAAGTATAGCAAGAAATAATACAACACGTAAATTAAAAACATTGAAAAGGAAGTTATGATGGAAAAAGAAAATCAATCGAACTCAATGTTATACAAAAGCTATAGATATCTAAAACGATATTAGTGTATCTGAATGTGTTTTATTGTGGTTTATCTGAAAGTTCAAAAGTACAAAAGATGATCAAAAAGAATTTCATAATTTTACAAAGATGTATGGATATTTTTATTTACCCTTATAACTCACATGTTTACAGAAAAATATCTTATAAAATATCTTCTTGTGGTCTGCATTTAATCAAATTAGCTGATAGCCGAAAACTAGAGGACAATTTAAAATTTTCTAAATTATTGGCAATTATTTTTTGCAAACTAAAATTTTCTAAATTATTGGCAAAAACTAGTGGCCTCTGGATGTGAAGAAAAAGTTTTAATTTCAAACTTTAAAGTGCTAATTTTAGCACTTTAATGGTTATCATGTTT